AAGACCGCGCAACGCTTCCATATGACACCGCATCGTTGTATTGGCCTATCGATCTCGATCTGGTGTACGTAATCATGGAGATATATATTAGAGGAGGAGGAGGAGGAGGAAGAAGATTAATTGATGATAGGTCTCTACGTCGATGCGCTGGTTATGGTCAAGATGTGCGGTCCTGCGCAAGATACATAAGCTTCTCTCTCTCTCTCTCTTAGCTAGTCCTGCATGTGTACGTATTACTACAATTTCTTCGTTCCTATGTTTTTTTTTACCCTAGCTTTTTAGCAAATTATGACATGATCATAATCAGGACTTGAATCTAATCATTTTATTTTATTTTTTGGCTTTTGGGTTTTTCTTATGAGTGCCTCATATCTTGGTTATATATTAGACCCTGGCCTCTTCATTTTTCTATAGGAGACCCCAAAATCTATTAAATTCTTTTAAATAGGATCCCCATTTCGAGCAGATATATATATATGAAGATTGGTGGTCTAATTTATAAATATATATGAAGGTTGGAATGTATAACATAGTATTCATGAAGGTTTGGAGGTCTAACTCATGTAATAGAATAAAAAACCTTTCCTTTTTCTTTTCAACATTTTTATTATGAAATGTACTGAGTTTATTGATTAGTTTTCCTGTTTAATTAACCATTTTAAAATTTTCCTTATCATTTACTCACTTCAAAGTGTATACTAACATATACATATTCCATCCAAAAAAAACATTCACATGAATTAGGTACTCATCTAACTTGGCATTAATTTTTTCTTCTAAGTTTTCATAATAATTACAGTACCTCCCTAATTTAAGATTTTATACGAATCATGTCAGTGGAGTACGTTGCCTATTAATCTTGATTGACCAATGCCAGATTTTCAGAGGTCGGGTACTGAGAAAAGACTCGTAACAAATTAAAGCCATTTCTTTAATAAGACAAAGCATGAGCTTGGTGCTATATACAGAATAGAGAGAGGGAGAGAGAGAGAGTCCCATCATCTAAGAACGGGAATTTAACGGCTGAGATTTGACATCTGGTTCTGATAAACATCGGATCAGATTAAGACAATTTGGTGGACGTCCTTCATGTTTTGAGCACGCACCGGGAAGTTTGGCGAGCATTTTGTTCGGAGCACTCTCAGCGTGTACACTCTTTTTAGTGTGGCACTAGGGGCACACCTCCAACCACACATCCTCTCTCATTTGTTACAGTGCACCGGGTCCCACATGTGATTTTAAAAATTTAAAATCACATGTGGGACCCGGTGCACTGTAGCAAATGAGAAAAGAGGTGTGGTTGAGGCTGTGCCCAAATCATTTTCTCTCTTTTTATGCCCCCGTTTTCATTATTTACCATTCTATTTTAATTTTTCTTAGCACATGCATTATGTCCAGTCAATCTGCTTATATAGATTCGAAAAATCACTTTAATTTTTTTATTAAACAAATCAATCAGTCGGGGGAAGGATTTCTGACAGAAGTATTTGTCGCCTACTGTAAATTTCATTGTTTTTCCAAAATACTTTTTCCACCAAAACAAATAGGAGAATTTGGGTGGTGAATTTTCGTTAATTATGACGAAAAGTAGGGTGTGTGGCTCCTTATTTGTGGATTACTCTGAAATCCTAGGGAAATGGTGCTTCAACAGGGACCCGAAAATGGGACAGACAGAAGGGAAGGCATGTGAGGTCTCCCCCCTTAATTGCATAATGAACTGGCCATGACCAGCTCATTATGCAATCAGAGGGGGACACCTCATCTGTCCCCCATCTATCTGTCCCATTTTCGGGTACGTGAGGTATTTTTCATTTGACTATTATATAAAATATATGCCCCCCCCCCACCCCAAACTCTTGAAGCTTTATTATTTTGAAATTGATCCCTCAAATCTCGAAATTGATACTAGATTTTCTAATTCTTAAGTTATTCCAAAATTAGTACCTCAACCCATTCACATTGCCATTAACTTCCCCAATTCTTGTAATTGATTGAAAACTCATGAGAATTGGGGGGACTCAGTAGCAATTTCAACGATTCGTGGGACTAATTCTAAAATAACTTTAAGAATTTGGAGGGAGCTAGCACCGGCCAACTTCAATGATTAGAGGACTAATTTAAAATGCTAATGATTTCAATCCTTAAGGGGCTGTTATGGAAATAAGCATACAGATGAAAGAACAAAGTTATTAAAAAAGTACATTTCTATCCGAAAATACTACATGTATCATATGTTGCAAGAAATTAACATCAGATATGTATGTATTTTGATTATAGAAATTTTATTTCCAAAAAAGACCCCATGTTAATTTTACTAGTTGATAACATTTTATATTTGCATTTTTTTGGTGTAAAAAATTTATTTTAGATACAAATCAAGTATTTGTTCATCTATCATAGTAAGATAATTTAATTTTTTTTTTCATATGAAATCAACTAATTTGATGGAATGATTTTTTTTAAATTATTCATTAACATAAAGGATTGACAACATTTGTTGTAGCTAAACTGGCTGCAACAAATACTTAAAGCTTTTTCTACAAAAAATATGATCTAATCATCATTCTCAACCATATTTTTGTCAAAAAAAAAAAAAAGACTGTAACATTTGCTTCGACCAAACGTACAAGCGGTAAGCGATAAAGGATTAATTGTCAAAAAGCAAACGTTGAAGGATAATTTCCCAAATACTACATGGCGAGGGATAAATATGTAAAAAGACCCATTCAATTTTCCAAAGTCAATACTAATAAAGTCCCAAAGATCCAAATCATCTGAAATCGAGAGAGGGAGCGAGAGAGAGAGATGAGCAGCGAAGACTATGCAAAGTCCGGCCAGCAGTACGGAACCTTTGGTGGTGGGCCCCCCGTGTACCCCCCTCAGCCACCGGCGACGGGATTCCCTCAGCCGGTTCCTCCGCCTGGGGTCACCGGTGGCGCCGGTCACCAGCCCTCTGACTACTACGCCTACGGCTACCAAGCTGTGGAAGGTACCATACTATCAAATAACCCTCAGGATCTCTCCCTTGTTGGTGTCAATTCAGTGAAATTATTGTTCCGATTTTTTTTATGGGTCTTCGTGATTTTGATTGGTGATGTCATCTTGGTGAATGAAATGATTGGTTGAAGCGAGTGTTGTGAGTTGTAAGAGCTTGACCCATTAGGCATCAGGAAAAAAGGGGGGCTATATCAATTTTTACAATTTGGTATTTCTCCCATGGTCTATGTTAGTGTAAAATTATAACCTGAAACCTCACCACAATTCCGGAGTTTTAGCGTACCAGAGCAACCCATGTTCAAATCCTACTGGCCGTGAATTTAAAATGGTAAAATTGTAACCCCGAACACTCTTGTAAACTTATAACCCTGAACTCAAAATTGAAGTGTAGAATTATAACCCTGAACCCTCTATAAAATTATAACCCTGAGCTTGAAACTGAAGTATCAGAAAAATTGAGGATGAACAGGGAAAATAGAAGATATAAGGGAGAGAGGTACAAAGAGAAAGAGATTCGTTTGCTAATGTACCCGCAGGGTTAAAGAAAAAAGAAGATGAAGAAAGAACCGCCGCATATGCATAATTTGACGTACAAGGTGATAAGTGACACGTCCCCATAGTATAGCCGTGTATCTGCAATTAGCCCCTATATTTAGCACCACACCTTTCATGTTTCTTCTCTGTAAATTTACGATTGCATTTAACCTTATAGTTGTATTACCAAGTATGACGCACCGTGCTATTATCTTAATTGAAGGCTGCACATTATCACCTTAGGTGCACTTCTTTATCGTCAATGTCTGTGTTTTTCTAATGCTTTGTTGAGTATGTTGTTGAACTGAATGTTAAGTAGATTGTTTTATGTTTTTCATGCTAATAAACTGTTACCTAAGTAAGCCTTACGTGTGTAAAGAAACATACACAAACAAGTTCCTAATTGAGTTCTTAAAGTCCCTTCCGCTTCACCTAAACTCCAAAGTTTCTGCGAGGATTGGGAGCTGCAAATTTATAGTCTAACATGCTTCGCTGGTTGAGCACCAGTTCCATTTATGCCATTTACGTAGTAGTACGTTTTCTGGTTCCACTTAAAACACATGTCCTCAGGGATTTAAACCCGGGTTGTTCTGATACGACAACAACTCTTTTCTACTAAACCAAAACTCCAAAATCATGGTGAAAGTTGAGGCTATAATTTTATACTCTAATGTGAGTAAGTCATATCTCAGAAATCAGGTTTGATGGTTATTATCCTGTTTCGTTTTATCTCACAATAACCATCTTTGAACTGAAGCTTATACCAGGTTTTTTGATTAATGTTGTGGAAACATTATTCAAATAAATAAGTTACGGCCACATTCATTAATTTATTTTCCCGTTAATTATTTTAACTTCCTATTTTTAATTAATTCCTCAGGTTATGCAGCAGTAGCTGAAGGAAGACCTCTAAGACATCCACGTCTTCCCTGTTGTGGAATGGGCATGGGATGGTTTCTGTAAGTACAGTCTTCTCCCAGTTTCCTTACTTTTATATGAGTCTATGGCTAATTTTGGCTTATTATGGACTCTGGTAGTCCTTCTTTATTATTATACCAGTAATGTGACGAAAACTACTTTTTAAAGGTTTATCATTGGTTTCTTCCTTGCTGCTATTCCATGGTATGTCGGAGCTTTCATTCTCCTATGTGTCAGAGTTGAGTACAGAGAAAAACCGGGATATGTTGCTTGCACAATTGCGGTAAGTAACAAAATGATAAGTTATTGTCTTTTTTGAAGCTTGCGTAGGATGGCCTCTTTCTATTGGCACCTTCCTGCAAATTTATCCCTCAATTTAATTCTGTATTGTGTTTAATTGTGTATACCTTATTTTGTTCTGATCATAGTTGGTTGCAAAAATCATAATTTCTAAGATGGGGGTCAAAAGGAGAGATATAGAGAAGAGATATGGATGTATCTATTTCTGTGTTTGCATGCACACACGTTATTTTTCCTGAACTCCTTATTTCTGGATTCAATTAAATAAAATTTTCTTGTATATAATGTATGTCAAGCTTTCTTCTATAAAATGGTAAATAATTTATCAAATTCTTTTCAAAAAAATGTATATTCATTTCTCTGTGAGGAGAGCGCCAATCTTTAGCGAAACTTGGGTGGTCACAAATTAAGGAGGATAAGATAGTACTAATTAAACAAAGAAATGACCCTTAATGGAGTTTTATGGGAGCAACCGATTCATATAGTTGACCCTAAAATTTTTGGGATGATCATCTTTGTCCAGATCATCTTTGTCCAGGACTAACTTTTCAAGCGCATTGATGGTAATTTGAGTATCATCTTTTAGACATCAAGCTTCTGGGCAAATTTTAGTATAGTCTGAATTTAAACTTGGTGCCTGATCAATGAAGTTTCGTTTCAAGTTGACTTGATGTATCCTTATTGGCTCAGTATTTTGCCAGCTCAAGCTTTTGGATTATACAACATAATATCAAAATCCAAGTTCCGAAAATCCAATACTATAGTATATTTGATTTTTTTCTGTTTCAGATTAGATGGTGATCAATCAAGATAATTCAAATTTTAATCGAAGATGTTATTTATACTTTTTATGCAGGCTATTGTTGCATCAATTGCTATCATATTTGGTGCCACAAAGGGAGCTGATGTATGGTGATTTACTGGCAAAAAGGACACTGTGGGAATATGTGAATACTTCATAAATACTACACTCTGGAGACTATCTGAACTTTGTTTATTCAATATACTGTGAGATATTGCATGTTTATATTTGCGTGGTGGGATAGCTTCAGTTAAATAATGATATGTATAAACTCTTGGATATTTATATCGATTATATGTTGATTGTTTGTTTGAAGGAATGTCTTCTGCGTCTCTAAACTGTCTCATATCCTGATCTGACTATTCTTCTGTCAAGTTTGCATCGGTAAGAAAACATATCTATTTGGAATGAAAGTAGACGTGCTAGAATTCAAGTTGGTAATCGCTAGCGGCGGTGAGTAGTGCAGTACGACCTTGCTGATTTTTTTTTATTTTTTTGCATATTGAGAACTTTTGCTTACTGACGAGATACATGACAATGTTAAAGATTAGGCTATTTCTTGTACTGATGAAAGCTGATAAATCTTCAGAAAATCAGCTTTTCATGCAAGTCCCCGACTTTTCATACTAGTACATTACACTTAAAAATAATGGATTATTAGATTCAGTAAGTATATATGCACACACACATGCATACATACGCACACGAAGAAAATCCACTATCACAAGCCAAACAAAACATGCAGTTTTTTTTATATAAGATTGAAGATGAGAGGGAACTCACATGTATTAAGAGCTCGTTTGGATCGGGTATTTTGAAGGGGAAAGGAGGGGGAAAGCTGCCAATTTATCAGCTTTTTGGCAGCTTTTCCCTAAAATCGCCTTTAATGTACATGAGAGGGAACTCACATGTATTAAGGGCTCGTTTGGATCGGGTATTTTGAAGGGGAAAGGAGGGGGAAAGCTGCCAATTTATCAACTTTTTGGCAGCTTTCCCCTAAAATCGCCTTTAATGTACGGGACAAGTTTGAGGGGGCGAAGATCCCTCAGAATGGGTACATGACTGCTTTTTTCACGTAACATGAGCGCTCAGATGCGCAAGGCTCTTCCACCTCAGATTCTGAAGCAGGTCAGATTCTGTTAGGGGCTGTTTGGATCGAGTATTTTTGAAGGGGAAAGGAGGGGGAATCTATCAATTTTGGGAAAAAGCTGCCAAAAAGCTAACAAATTGGCAGCTTTCCTCCTCCTGTCCCTTTCAAAATACCCGATCTAAACAGCCCCTAACAGAATCTGACCTGCTTCAGAATCTGAGGTGGAAGAGCCTTGCGCATCTGAGCGCTCATGTTACGTGAAAAAAACAGTCATGTACCCATTCTGAGGGATCTTCACCCCCTCAAACTTGTCCCGTACTTTAGCGACACACTTGAATTCTTCCATCAACTCCATCATATTTTTCAGTGGTTGACCTGCGCCTCTAGCTATCCTCATTATTCGCGCTTGAATTCTTCCATCAACTCCATCATACTTTTCGGTGGTTGACTTGCGCCTCTAACTATCCTCATCATTCGCGACTCACTTATCTATTGTGCGTGTCGGAAGCCAAAACCAAACCGATGTGCTTCGAGAGACCAAATCAAACAAACGCCGATAGAAGGCCAAATAATGCAAAAATAACGGTACAAACTCAAACAATCAATTTTAACGTGGTTCGGCAAGTTGCCTACGTCCACGGGGCAAGAAGGGGATGAGGTTTTCACTCTTTTTTGTGCTCCAAATATCCCCTTCGCTGCTCCGTGGACGTAGTCAACTTGCTGAACCACGTTAAAATTGGTTGTTTGAGTTTGTGTCGTTATTTTGCATTGTTTGGCCTTCTCTCGGCGTTTGTTTGATTTGGTCTCTCGGAGCACATCGATTTGGTTTTGGCTTTCGCCCCGTACAACAAGTGATATCAGAGCCCAACAAGTGGTATCAGAGCTCAACGTTATCAATTTTGGATTCTTCGTGTCGAGCTCTGCGTTATTATGGAAAAAAGGGTTAGTCTAAGTTGGAAGCCATAACCCTTCTATTAATAAATATCATATCGTGTCCCCAATCTTTTACGCTAGGGGAAATAATTCTAGCTAGGGCTTTCACTCGCTTTTGATACATAATTATTAAAGATAATATACATTCTACATTATTTTCACAGATGTAAATTTAGAATTTATATTATTTTCAACTTTTTCATTGAGATCAGATAGGAACTATTAATAAAATGCAACAAGTGGATCTTCAATCTGGATCACCAAATTGAAAATCCTTATGGTTGGATGTGATGTACCAAGGACAAAAGGGTTATGCAACCTTTTGAAATCATGAAATCTTAGTGTTTTTCAAAGCATACGCTACTTTGTAAAACATGTCAAATTTATTTCTTGGTAGTTTATGTATAATAGATCATGTCCAACAGTGTGGATTTTCAACTGGCGGTCCAATTTCATGATTCGAATTGATATTATCCACTTCTTGGATACTATTAGTCGTGTAGCCTAGCCCAACTCTTATCAATTCTGTATATTTTTTAATACAACGTTTAGAAAAATAAAATTTTATGATAGTAAACTAAGATTTTGAGATTTGGGAGAATAATTATAACTATCTAGTTAATTTTATAATTGACTGATTCAAAGAAGGTTTACCGTACAACATTTAGAAAAATAATTATAACCAGAAAATAATTAAACTTTATGCCCTTGAACAAAGGACAAGAGGGATTGGTGGTTTACCTTTCTACTAAACTATCATGTTGTATATCCTGTTTTTTATTTTATTTTTTAAGATATACACACCACCTCAACTTATCTGCATTCCTAATTTTTCCGTACAAATCTTTATAATTCTAGATTTGCCCCCCAATTTTTTTTGTTCCTTCAAGTTCACCCTCATACCTTACTCTTGTAAGTATTTATTTAGATTTGTGTCAATATGTTTAAAAAAATCAAGTACTTATTTATACGTGGTTCGGTGATACCCTCAACTTATCTGTATTCTTAAAATTTCCGTACAAATCTTTATAATTCTAGATTTGCCCCCCAAATTATTTAGTTCCTTCAATTTTACCCTCATACCTTACTCTTGAAAGTATTTATTTAGATTTGTGTCAATATGTTTAAAAAAATCAAGTACTTATTTGTACGTGGTTCGGTGATACCCCTCAACTTATCTGTATTCTTAAATTTTCCGTACAAATCTTGATAATTCTAGATTTGCCCCCCAAATTATTTAGTTCCTTCATTTTACCCTCATACATTAGTCTTGTAAGTATTTTTTTAGATTTGTGTCAATATGTTTAAAAAAAATCACGTGCCAACGACTCTGCTGGGGATCGAACCCAGAATCTCTGGTTCCGTAGACCAGCGCCTTATCCATTGGGCCACAGAGTCATTTGTGCTTGATCTTCATTTTTTATAAATAAGTTATAATGCTTTTCTCAAATTTTCTCCACATTTCCCCCCATTATCGAAAAAAAATCGAGGTATTTCACACGGAGGTAGTTTCATCCTCAAAACACCAGAAACGCATCAAAAGTCCGATTTTTTATCTGCATTTAATTCTGTGTCTTGTTTTATTGCAAATTTTCAGTGAATAAACTGCTTTTGGGGGTGTTAATTTGATTTGTTTCAAGTTGGAACTGGAAAAGTTTCTCCTTTAGTAAGCACGAAATACCTGAAAAAGTTTAGATTTTTATTTCTGTTACCCTATTCGTTTGAAATTTAAATGCTGTTTTGGCTAATCTGCTATTAAATTATATTCCGGTCAAATGATGATCATGAGCTAAGTTACTGCTAGTTCTACTGACAATGTTAGCTTGTATCTTGATTTTTATTTCAACTCTTGAATAATGCAGTGCTCATTTGGTGCGTTAGATTCCAATTTCTTGTTTGAACGGCAGGACATTCAACTTTGGGATAAATTGAGTTGGGGTTTTATTTTTAAAATTTACTGGCTACCTTGCGGGTCATACGACTCCTTACAGCACATTATGAACTAATCTTGAAGAACTTTGGGATTAATTAAACATGCTTCCTAGTATTAATTTCATGTGTCTCACTTCATACCCGATTCAGTGCAATCGCTCTTATATCTCCGGTTATAGAACACGTATATGTGATCGAAATACTAAGAACCCGTGTTTAATGAATGTTGCATGCTTGGATTTTCCGTCATACAATAGAGTGTCATGCACTCTTAGATGTAGATCTTCTCTAGAATGGTATTTTTATTTTCATTTCTAGACAGTCTTATGAATAGAGCAATCCGATTGACATGGCTATGCGCAAATGTGGGTTATTTGTTTTCAAGGCCATTTCTTCAGGAAATGTGAGATTAAGAAGAATGTTAGTTACCATACAAATTCTCGTCGTTTTCATGCGTCTCTCATTGACATGTATGACCAAGTTGAAACTATAATGACATGGACCTGTTGTTGTTGATTGATTCATTGCTTTCATACTTCTTCCCCCTTGTGCCTCGAATCCATTTTCTACAAGGTTTCTTGTGTATTATCGAATATATTTCATTCCCTTGAGGATCCATGCATGTTGAGTGCCCTGCTCTACTTGTTTCTTATGGAGATATTAGATCCTGAAGTGCAAACATGGGTTTCGAGATTTATATTTTGTCATGGACACCATGCATATCGGTTCCCTAGATTTGCATGCATGCCTGCATGTCGCTTTAGGTTGAATTCCAACATTCTCAGGATTCATATTTTGTTGATATAATGTAAAACACCAGATTCCCAGGCTTTCCCATTGTACTTTTTGGTTGACTAAATTATATACGTAGTGTTTCTCATTCAATTAACTTAAATTAAACCAGTAATCCTAATTTCCTGACCACTCGTTAGGAATTTTAGGTCCTCTTGGTGACAAACGTTCCATTTTATTGTTGTGAACACCAATCTGGCTTGCTCTTGAGAAAAGTCCCTTCTGTCAAAAACTAAGATGACAGAAGAAAACAAAGTTGTGATCATATTTATTTCTTTCCTAAAGTAAAGTTTATGTAGAATGTGTAAAGAGACATTTCATTGGATGTCGATAAATAGAACAGACTTTGCATCAAAGAGAAATATCAAGTGATCTACTGCAACGTTTATTTCATGCAGAGAATTTGTCTTCACGACTGGGGCTTTAGCTCCAATTTTACATGAGGACTAGCCCACTGAAACATCTTCAACTAGTGCTCCATCAATTTCTGGATACACGAATATCCCAAATATTGAATAGTTATCCTTTCACACACACATGCATTAGTTAGCAAGAACTTAATGAATCCTATC